ATTTATATGCTATGGTGGCTTTGCTTTACAAATTACATTGGGGTAGGAAGTTCCTGCTGTCCAAGATTTTGGTTTTACAGATTGCCTGAACTTTTTTCCACATGCTATGCACATTCAGCTTCTCTTTTCTTTTCTTTTTCCCCTTTTTTTTAATAAAATTAATCAGACCTTTATTTACTTCCTTTGCCTATTGGATTCTAGTGTAACTGCAAATTAAATGCTTTTGTGCTTCGTAGGTATCTCTATTCTTATGTTGATCTTTTCCGGATGTCCTTAAGTTTGTATTGTGAATATGTTGGTTCAGGTGCTGGTATAGTGTTTCACATCCTTCTATAAAGATTCTCAGTTAGTATCATCTGTGAGTTTTTCTGACCTCAGAAGAATATTATGCCCCGTTTTCTAATTTCTTTTGATTGTTTGTAGATGCTGGACTTTAAAATACTGCATTTTCTACCTTGTCTGTGCATATTCAGTTTAAAATGCATTAGTTATGAAATGTCTTGGTTCTCAACCAATTTTGATAGCTCAGTTTTGTCTGCTGAAAGCGGGAAAGAAAATGTAAAATATGAAATCTAATAAGACAGAAAAAGTAGAAAAAATGATTTTGTTCTGGGCATTTTAAGAATAGAGGGAAAAAAGGGGCTCTTAATATCTGATGATAAACCTAATGGATGGAAGGCCTGGTTTGGTCAAGTTAAGCTGCCTATCACTTATGCATACCATTTAATTCTGACCTAATAGTCCTTGTGGTATGTTATATTTAGCTAAATTGAGGAGGCATTTATATTTTTAAAAGAAGCATTCAGCAGCACTTCTTGTTAATTAACTTTTGTTAGGAAGAGAGAAACAAGAGCCGCAAACTTGACCGATATGATAAGAGGAGGTAATCCTCACATTTTTTTTTTTACACTTTTTCATTTGGATAATCTGTAAACATCAGATAGAGAGGGGATTTTGTGATATCTTTTTTTTTTTTTCTTTTTTGTTGGTGGTGCATAGATCAAAAGAAAGAAGTAGAGATCATGAGAGAGAATCCAGTTGTGACCAAGGAAGGGATTATGATCGAAGGAGCAGAGATCGTGACAGGTACAATGATCTAGAACGTGATAGGGATTATGTGCGCTCTCGGACTTATGATTCTAGCAGTCACCACAGGTCACGTTCAAGGTCTAAGGAACGTTCCAGGGATTATGACCGGTACTTTTTTCTCTTTGTTTATGGTTTTTTAAGTTCATTTTCACGGGGACTTGTGTATGAGTCTCCTGCCATTATTGGTTCATTTTTGTAATTCTATATGTGCTTGTTTACATGTCAAATTGATGCATGTTTGGATTATATGTATGCTTCTTATCATATTCTTCACTCAATTCCCTGTAGGTAATTTCATTATTTTCAAAAAGATCTAACTACCTTAGGTAAGTTTTCTCAAAGTGGAAATGTGGAATAGACGTTATAGGTTAGAAAAGTTTTGAATTGCTTGGTGGAATGATTTTCAAACAGGATTTTGTTAAAGGTAGGGCTGTAAGAAGCCATGCTTCTCTCAACAAGTTGAACTCAATATAATAGTAACCCCAGTTTGTATTTGGTTTCTCATAGTTTAGTGAGTTGACTTAAAACATTTTAGTGCTTGGCCTGAGAATTAGCCATTGCATGCTTGTTTAACAATATATCATTAATTTTGTTTTCTGATAATTTTTTTAGCTTGTTGAATTTGTGTTAAGTTAATATGCTATTAGTTTTCTAGTGTAAAATTTGCCAAAGCTGACTTCATGATGAGGTTTTCACCATTGTTTTCAAATTTCATGCTGAGCTCTAGCTAATATTTGAGTCCAAGAAGAGGCTGAGTGCAATATAAAAGCCAGGGACAATCAAATTTAATATATTCAAGGATTTGAGCATCCTTGATGGGCTAGATTCTGTCACACAAGAAACTCTCACCTGAACCTCCACCTTCTTTTTTTGATGTTATAAGCTAAATAAGCTAATTATAATTGTTTGTACACTTAAAAAAGAGCCAAGACAAGTTCATTTTGAGGTTTTATGATTCTTTTAAACCAACTTCAAGAGAAGAAATGAGCTTGAGTTGGAGACTGAGCTCAAGTTTTTTAGTTCGTCAAGCTTGAGCATGGTATTAGGTGAGTATCTGATTGATTCACTCTAGATAAAACTTAAAAGTTAAAAGGTTCCCTTGGGTAATTCTTGAATGGGTGCTGAAAAAGGACCTTAACCAAATGTATTGGTGCAGATAAGCATGAGGATGAGAGTTCTATTAAAACAATATTAAATGCTATGATTGGTTTCTAGTATTGTTTCATTAAGTTTTGGAATATAGAAATGTAGAAATGGCTATAAATCCTGCATGGACGCATAACGAATCAAGGCTTGTGGTTTGGCAAACACCAGTAGATTTGAATGTTGTTTTTGTTTTCACATTAAAAAATTGCTGTAAATTCTTTAATTTTATCACAAGTACCTTTAGTTTCGTTTCAGCATGATGATCTGATGAGGGGATGTCATTCCCTAAGTCACTAGTATTTTGTTTTATGATTCAACTCTCTCCATGTGTGTTTCTCAGCAAAAGATTTAGTTCGTTATTGCTGGGATTTGAATGCTGACATTCCATCAGTAACTAATATTTTGTTAGGCTATTTTCCTATTTTTCTTGCTTGAATTTATTAAAATTTTCTATGCTGATACTGATTATTCTTCAACTTTACTCTTCTTTTTAATCAGACGTGATTGGTACTAGATGATTGTTGCTAGGAAACAAATGAATATGAAACTGTTCTTGCTTGGGTAAGTAAACGCATATGGTAGTAGTATAACTTGTGTTTGCCCAAATTAATGTTTTTCTCAGTAAGTTCAACAGTTCCTCCTGTGGACACACCAACACGTTTAATTGAGAGGGTATTTATTACTTTTGACTTGGCTTTGATATTATTAGGTATATATATTGCTATTCCAGTTGAAAATTACTAAAGTTATCTAAAATGACTAAATGAAAGTTAATACGGCTGCATGCATGCAATTTGAGGTTTGAATTGTTGTTTTTTGCGACGAGAGCGTTATGGTAAGTTAAGCAATTGAATGGATTTTAAAGAAATTGAATGGATCTAACCAAATAAAACTCCTTCACTCCCCAATTTCTCATATCTAAATGAAGTAAGGGGTCTCATTTTCCTTTAGTTTGCTGGGTTTGAGAGAAATGGATGGAAGGTAAAAGGGGAGGGGTTCTTATTTTCACTAATCAAATTAAGTTGTGGACCAGCAAAATAATTTGACTGATTATACTTATTTTCCCTCTCCTCTCGAGCCAAATTGTTAATTCATTTCGTTTAGTCCAAACAAACTCTTCCTTTTTGTAAAAGACAAACAGATGTGAACCTAAAATGAAAGGAAATTCTGGAAATGGCTTGGAAGTTTCGTTAACTGTGCAGAGCTATCTATAACTCGTTCATTTTTCAGATTCTTAGACAAGGTATTGGTTGACTGGTATATGTTCAACCAAATACATCAAGATTACATCAGAAAAGTGGAGTAGTTTATCTAACACTGCACTGTGATTGCCATGATAGATTTACTTGAAAAAGAAACTGACAAGTACACTTCGTTACATTTAAACTTAGTATTACGAAAAAACTAACAAGGATCAAGGAAAAAACTCAGGTTCATCAACACTTTTTTTAGATGCTCATTTACAACTCAGTCTCATCCTGGTCCTGTGTGCCGGAATATAAACAATTTGAAAAGCATGATTTGCTATGAAGTAATGTGTGCATGTCATCTACAACCCCTACAATCGCAGTATAATTCCATGTCTTCACTATCTGAGTAACCTTTTTAGAGAAGTTCAAGGTCAAGGGAAACCACCTGGTACTCCACCTATGATATAATATAAAGAGTTTATCAAGCTCGAACAACACCCAAATGCAAACCTCCAATAGGATTCATCAAAAAAAAAAAAAAAACTTGTAAGGAGCACTGACGCTAGTGATCTCATAATTTTCAATCAAAAGGGCAAATACCTAGATATTTAAAAATATAGTTTGCTTTGTGTGTAAAATGAAGAGTTGTTTAACAAAGTGACATGAGAAATCTATGAAACTAAAAAAACTTATGATATTTTGACTTAATGCATGGCTTCATTTAAGAGTTTTTGATTTGAGAGAAATGGGGAGTAGAGGAGAGGAGAGGAGAGGAGAAAAATGAAGTATTAAGGCTTCATTTAGTATAATTGTAATTTTTTATTTTTAGTTGTGATTTTTATAATTCTTAAAATTATTGAAAATTAAAAATAAAAATTTGTTTAAAATAAATTTTAACACTAACAACTAATGATATGAACTTAACTTATTTAATAGTACTAAAACTATTTTTGTCTTTATTTCCTTAATAATCATAAGAATATGTTGCAAAAACATAGAAACTAAATGAGTTTTTTTTTGTTTAGAATTGTAAAATTTATAAAAACCAAAACAAAAAATCAAAAACCACAACCATACTCAACAAAGGCTAGATCAACCTTCTATATTGTCTCTGTTTTTGAATGAAAACAAAGCTAGAATACCATTTAAATGTAAATTAAGATAGATGACATAATTGATTCACAAATCACATCTCTTTTTCGAATAAAGATACATAGCAAATTAAAATGCTCTCTTTCACACAATAAAACAAACAAAACAAGAAATATGAAATGAAATGGTCTCTAGTGTTTTCCAAAATTAAGTGCTTGATAATCATGTCACACACGAATTTTAGAAATTGAAGATTCTTTTGAGTGCTAAAGCAATGTGGGAACTTAGTAGCATGAAAATCTAGCTTCTTGTGAGTGTGTAATTAAAACCTACAAGGAAATAAGATATCATCATTAATACATATAAAATGGTTATAAGATGAAATAGAGAGTGCACCATCCATATGAATGGAAAGGTAAATGAGACAAGTGTAGATGATTGAAGTACAAGCCCCCTCACCTAAGAATCCATTGCACCCATCTTCAGCACTGTTAACATTATCCTTTTCAGAATAACTACTAATGCTTTCTTCAAATCTTAATTAGGCATTCTGTAACCATAAGAACAACATATATTAATTAGTGGTGTAGAAAGCAAGAATAGGACTAACATGGATAACCAAGATCATTTTTTTTTTTTTTAAGAAAAGAAACATCAGAAACATTGAAGCAAAAAGAATAAGACTTAGGGTTCTCTCATGCATGCTATGAGAAAGATATGATATGTTTGTATAGAAAGATTTCTAAAGATTATGCCTAAGATGTCAATTGTATATAGACACAAGACCAAGTTCACAACGTCCATGAATAATCTCATACGTAGAGATAGAAACATCACCTAAAATTCCAATCTTTGTTCATAGCCATTAATTACCATCTTCTTTAGCGTCATGATCATTGTTTTCTCCATTGCCCTTTTTGGAATTACGAGCACTCTGTAACCATCACAATAACATGTTGAAAGGGGAAAGCAAAAATTGCAGTAAAAAGGTGTATAACTGAAAGTGCTTCCTTGATTTGCATGGCAGAGTAAAAGAAAAAGAAGTTCTTCAAATTATCATGACCTTGCACTCTAATCCACTAATCATATCTAGATATATTTTGAACATCATTAGTTAGAAGAAGTGGATACTATTTAAATAAAATGAAAAACATAATTTAGGTGATTCTTTAATTAATTCGAAACCATGTTCTTAACTAATGATTAAGGAAAAGGTTAAACAAAAAGCTTAAAAAGGTGAAAAAAAAAAAATGAGGAAGTCTTTGAATTCATCACTACATACCTTTTCCTTGAACAACTGTTGTACAGTGCTGTTAAGGTTCCCCACCCAGCATCTTTCATCTTCATCTTCATGTTTATCTTCAACAACTTTTATGCTGCCTTCATCTTTATTAAAAATATCATCTATTGTTTTCTCTATATCTTCATCTATATCTTTATCCATATATTCATATACATCTCCTGTCGATTTCACTTCATGCAGTCTTGGTGTGCTCAGTTCTCCCTTAGAGAAAATCTGCATATTTGGACACTCTGTAATAATTACCTTTCTCAAAGCTGGGAATTTAAAGTCGCAATCCCCCGAGCAGAAGCTTTCTAGTGTGGGTAGACCTTTAAGTTGCAAACAATACAAATTGGTGAAAACAATGCCATCCTTCACAGCATCACCCGAACATACGACAATTTCTTCTATCATCTCACAATTGGCTAGTTTCATCTCATAGAGCTGCCCCAAGCTTTTTGCTGTCGAGTATCTCACTAAATTGACAAGTCCATGACACTCAGATACTACTAGAGTCTGCAAATTGGCGAAATATACAGTGGAGGGAACTAAATTCTTCAATCTGCTACATTCCTGCACTTTTAGAGTTTCTAGGTTTCTGAGAATGTCTACTTCAAGTTGGGATTCTTCCTTCCAAAGATGAGTTAGCTCATGAAGTTTGGACAATCTTAATTTTCTTAACGGGGTGCGTCCACATACAGGTTTTTCCTTACCAGTAACTTCTTCACATTGGAATATTTCATCGAAGAAAGCATCCTTCACAAGAAGCTTTTCGAGATTGGGCAGAGAGTGGAAGAAGAAAGACAGAAGAAAAGCCGATTGCTTAGGAAAGCCAAGGAGGTGCAGAACCTTTAGTTTACCAAAATACCCCTCTGGATGATGTCCACACTCTATCTTTATATTGTCATTCCATTTCACAATCAGCCGTTCTAGACTAGGAAATGTAGCCTGAGAAATTGACACGAGATAAGAAGACAACCCGAACTTTAACTAAATCTATTACTCTTTGATAAATTTGTCATTTCTTAGTTATACAATAAATCTTGATTTCGAAAAAAAAAATACATAAAAATTGATATCCACATTTTTCTGCCATTGAAAAATCACTTCATCTCACATAAACGCATCTATTTTTTCTTTCTTTATTATTGTTTTGTTTTTGCAATTCTTCCATTTTCTATGACTCCGATTTCAAGAAATAATAAATTATTATTTAGGTGATCGTTATGTAAAAATCTTTAATTATATATATAATCATATAGGTTAATCTGCAGAAATTTGCTAAAAATCTTAATTATATATATAATCATATAGGTTAACTTGCAGAATATTCTCGTAACAATTTTTTTTTTTAATTTGCAAATTATTATTCACTTAAACTAGGCAAAAGACTCATGTATTAAAATGAAAAAGAAATTTTTTTTTTTAAATATATATAACTTTTTTTCTCATGATGACCAGAAGTTAAATTTAATTACATGAAATTTACTCCAATATGGGATTATAAGGATAACAAAATTTTTGTTAGTATCAAAAAAAAAATCAGAGCAAAACATTTTTAAATTAGGGTGTCAATCTCTGCTCGTAGGAATTCAAAACAAGGTTGAAATATTTTTTTACAAAGTTCTGATAATAATAGTTTTTTATCTTCAAAATAAAATAAAATTAGTACACAAAGAAAACAAATGGAAAATTTTCTTTATTTTGTCTCCATATATTACTTTCCCTATTTTCTTTCCCTCATTTAGTGTAAGAACAAAA